TTATTTTCGTAGGTACAACAAGTTCGAGCCTTTCATATTAGCTTCCCAAGCAGATCAAGTTTGCTTCATTCCATACCCTCGGCTTACTACCTCGGGAATAAACTGGTTAGCTGTTATCAAAGTTACACCTCGAGGAAGAATAATCGCTGGAGAAGAACCACCATTACAAGAAGAAAACACCAATGAGATCGAGGAAGCTTAAGCAGAAATTGATGACATCCTACTCATTGATCCGCATAATCGTCAATACGAAGATGTTCCTGATCACTCAACGGACGAAGGTGTAGACGACGAGTTTTTAGAAAATGATGATGTTTCAAGTGATTACGACAATGTATTTGAATGAATTATGTATGTGTTGTAAGTTTGTTTAATCAACAAATCAATTTGCATTATATATATGTTTTAATTTTGTTTAATCACAAAATCAATTTGCATTTGGGATTTGAAGTTTATGTGTAGAAAAGGTTATGAGTTTGGTTGTAGAAGAGGTTATAAGTTAAGGAAGTTGTGGTTTGGGGTTTGGGGTTTCGAGTTTAGGGATTTATAAACCCTTTCCTCGTAAAGCCCTAGTAAAAGAAAACACGGGCATATCAATTTCCTCGTAATGTTCTAGTAAGGCTTTACTAGGGTTTACGAGGAAAAAAACGCGGGCATAGCTATTTCCTCGTAAAGGGTTTTCCTCGTAAAGCCTTAGTAGAGCCATTACGAGGACCTTACGAGGAAATAAAAACGCGGGCATAGCTATTTCCTCGTAAGGTCCTAGTAATGTTACTAGGGCTTTACGAGGAAACAAAATTCTTTATATATACGCGAGCAATCCGGTTTCTCATTTGCTAGTAACCTTCTCTCTAAGTCCTCTAAAGGTTCTCTCTAATCCGTAGTTAGGTGATNCGAGGAAATAAAAACGCGGGCATAGCTATTTCCTCGTAAGGTCCTAGTAATGTTACTAGGGCTTTACGAGGAAACAAAATTCTTTATATATACGCGAGCAATCCGGTTTCTCATTTGCTAGTAACCTTCTCTCTAAGTCCTCTAAAGGTTCTCTCTAATCCGTAGTTAGGTGATTAGATTAGGGAATTTAGATTAGGTGCTTAGTTTAGGGAATTTAGATTAGGTGGTTAGTTTAGGGAATTTAGATTAGGTGGTTAGTTTACGTAATTTAGATTATGTTAGTTTACTTTTAGTTACTGTTTTTTTAAATTATGCGGGAATTAATGTTTTCAAATTTTTTTTTTTTTTAAAATATAGATGCCTAGACAGAGCAAGATTGCTAAGGCTGCTGCTAAGAGGGCATCGACTCTCGAGGGGATAAGCTACGGA